AGTTGAGAAATTGCTCTCTCTCGTAAGATTCGACCAGAAAATCAATGTTCAAATCTCCGTATACAACAATGGATTCAAAAGAGCGATTGCTGACTTTATTTAGTGTTATCTCCAGTGTTTTTAAGAATATTATATAATCTACTGCTCTCTTTGCTGGAGACCTGTAGATGCAAAGTAATATAATTTTTAGCGTAGGAAATGTACTACAGATATTTCAAAACCATTTTCAACGGAATACACATTTAATTCCGCCAAGGATATAGAATCGATATTATTTCTAGCGTAAATGGAAGACCTTTATGTGATTCCTTTTCTCTACAATAAGAGACTACGAGGTAAAAGTTTGGAATTTGGAAATTGCTAAGTTCATTATGAAATAACCAATGTTCTGTAAAGCAAAGAACATCCGAGTTAAATCGCTCGGTAGAGCTACTTCGATAAACTCAGTTTTATTTGAAAGGGATTGAACATTATAGTGCAGTATGTTTATCTTTTGCAAATACACGGATGGTTTTCTACTGCATCTGACCGTAATTGCTGTATATTTACTCCATTTTTACCTCGAGTGTGTGGTCGAAGGTTGTAGTGTGTCCCTGCAGTGACAGATTGTGAGGCATTAGGTGTAAGAGAATTGGTAGTGGGAGTGGGAGAAACGGGAGAAGTATCAGAGGAGGAGGTAAGTGGGTTCGAAATAAGGGTGGGGGTGGAGAACCTAAGGAAGGTGAAAAGGATGGATTTTTGGTTGGAGACTGCGAAGGAATGGGGTAGATGTGTTGTGTAAGCTTGTTGCCGATTGTATGTTTTCCAGCAAGGTTCATGGGGAGTCCATGCCGGATGAAGTGTTTTGTTGAGAGGAAATTCATTTCAAAAAGTGTAAATTTGTTTCCCTCAGTTGCAGTTTTAATTGGTGGTTTGCGTGATTTATCTCTCCGCATATTGTTGGTCTATTGCACCAGAAGAGCCTAGTTGAGACTACAATGTTAATGTTTTGGGCGGCACGTTGTAATTTGTTTACATGGAGGTATAAAGTTACAACCCAAATTAATGTCATTCTACCCTCCTATGATAAGGACTGTGTTCTGAATGGTCAATGTCTTTGTGTGGCTGTCCAACTCTGCAGTCACGTCTGCAAACATCCCGTTAGGTTTAAAAATAGATGAGACTGAGTAGTTGGAGAATAACTTCCTACTAAGAATGGAGGAAAGATTGCGACCGTGGCTGTCAGCTAAAATAAGTACTTGTGTTTTAGGCTCAGTAGGAATGTCTTTGTTTTCAAGTGGGCTTGGATGCGCAGCTTTACGTGTCTAGGTTTTGACGCGCATCCTGGCCCTTTTGCGTTGGTTTGTGCGTGTATTTGTCGATCACAGAAGAGTTGAGAGGATCAGGAAGGCGAGGAAAATCTGTTTCGTAATCTAAAACACTAAATTTGTTTTGAGTTGTGACGATATGTCTGTGTCTTTCGTGCAGTCACGTGTGCACTGTTGGGAAGATTTGCAGTGTTGCCGGCTTGTACCCAACGTCTGTATAGACCTTTTCCAACCTTCGGATATGTTGATTTAAATTACTGTTTATGTGTGTGAAGGCTTTCAGCAAGTCGGCTTTGGGAGTGCAGAGAGTAAAAAGAGTTTGTAAAAAACGATGTTTCCCTGTCACGAATGCGTTTTAATGTACTTGATAAAATTGGAATAAATACAAAATACTCACAACGGTAACAAGTAGTTAGCTTAATATTTTGAAAGTGTATATGTATTCAATAAATTAAAAAAAAATGATTCGATACTAGAATGAGAAAGTGTGTTGTTTACGAAATTGAGTGAAAGCTATTACTTACGAAATTGGCAATGTGGTTCTGTAGATTGTTGATCATTTAAGCTGCTACTATTTAATAAAATCAGTTGACTATACTTTATCGTAGATAGATAAATGATATTAACTGAATATTTGTCTTGAAAATATAGACAAATTAAATTTTGAAAAAAAATTCAAAACTGTTTGATACACCGTCCTCGTGAAGTTCAAATCAACGGAATTGTCAATCGTCACAGAAATATAATAAAAATCTTTCAGTAATTAAATTAGCACAGCGATATAATATCGAAAAGAAATTGAATTTTTTATAGGTTTTGACACTATCACCAACTTATAAATCTTAAGTTCGTCAATGTTTCAGTAACCGTTTAAAATTTGTTATATATTAGTTTGTCTTGGCAATAGCAAAAAAAACTAGCCGGAATTATATATCTAGTCAACCTGCAACAAGTAATAAAAGCACTTAAACAAACCAAATATATTCAAATCGCTAAAAATAGATAGAATGACAAAATTTAAGAGCACAACCAACTGCATCCATCTCGTATGATGGCATCAAGCAAGTCCACTTGAAAACTTGCTCGAGTGAGAGTGTACCATAGAGAATGCTTGGGACGAAATACGCCGTTCAGTTGAACATGCGTAAAAACGTAATAAAACGCGTCGGTGTGCCGCACGAGAAAAGCGATGAAGAGAGAAGATACGATTATTCTGTTCTGGTGACGGGCGTATCAAGAAACAAGTCTGGAACAGATTCGACTAGGGTCTGGTGGAGTGCGCAAGAAGATGGTGCTTCGAATGGCATCGCAGACTGTAGTTATGCAGAAGAGCAAGGAGACGGCGGTGCCCGAACTAGGCCAAGGTCGTGAGCCCCCGGCGCGGACGTTCCGAGCGGAGGTAGGAGAAGCCAGCCGCCGTGAGAATGAAGAGCAAGGTAAAAAGTGACATTGTAACGGGACTTGAGAGGCAGGCGTCGCGGCAAGCGCGCGATCGTTGTGATCATTAGGCAAATATTGAGGGAAATCTGAATATTTAAGCAGAAACTGTAACGAACAGAGTGAGCAAAACGATATCAGTGAATTCCTTGTAGACTATGTAATATGTTTTATTCCCCCATGATTCGCTGAAAGAAAGATGCAGTGTTTGAAGAGAATTGTCGAATGCTATGCTAAGTGTGGTAAAACTCATTGTAAAATTTAGAAGCAAATTTAATAGAAAAGTGTTCTGTTTAAAAAGGGGGAGAGAAGGAAATTTCACTTTACAATTCGCAAACGTGTGATACGGTAATATTTGGCTGGTGGTATTGGGCTACGGTGCTGGCGGCGTTGTAAATTTATCAGCTCAGGATGTGTCTGTGTTACTGAGGATTGTATTTTACTGATCCAGAGAGTGTATTTGGGGAGTTATGTCGTATTTTGTGGGATTTCAAATATGTTCCGTGATTATTATCTCAGTGCTTTGTAACGTGTGCCAAATTGTCTTAAGAATATACGCACTGATTTTACCCAACTTATGTATCTTGCGTACACTTTCTCACACCTGAAAGATCCTTCTACCTGAAATCATAAAAGCTCATTATGGGTTTTTATTATGCATCTCTTCCGAGCTGCCTGAGTGGGTGTTAAGGTGGTTAGTTGAAATGGTGTGTGTGTATATTTCATTCATTTGCAGATTGTAGAATTAGGAACAAGTAAATTTGAAAGTTGGAGCCAGAACACATACCCAAGGATGCACGAATAGTGCTAATGTCTAACAGCATCCGACCAATTCTGAGATGTGAGAGAATTGATGTTTCTGTGAAGTCTGCAAAAAAAACTAATCCACTTAGGTATGTGATATTGCGTTATGGCAGTAAATTAATTATAACTACGGTAGAGAAGTATTACCGCGAAGAAAAGTAGTTATTAATACCGTTAGAAAGTCCTTTGGACAACGCTGTATTGCAATACACCTTGTTTTATTTCTTATTTGCACACATCTATTACACAATAGTTATGTTCTTCCCCGCTTGTACATTCGTTTCCTGCAATAAGCGGGCCTATATCCCGCTCACCGCTCTCTATGGCATATGTAATCAATCAGTATCTACTGTAGACGTGCAATACTAATGAGTTATGTAACGCTGCGCGAAAAAACTTCGGAGTTTCAGCAGAAAAAATCATTGCTGGGCCTTGAAAAGTAAAAAGTGAGTAAATTCAGTTGCTAAATCAAGAAAAAATCCTCTAACACATTTTGTAGCCTGAATACCTGATTTGTGAGCCCTTGATACCGAAAAACCAATTGACGGCAAAACGTCCATATATCTGTCCGTCCGTTAGTCAGTGACACCACTAGTGCCTAAACCATACGTACGATTTTTTCCAAAATTAATATTCTCTGGTTTCACTCAAGCCGGTGTGATTTTGAAAAACGTTGTTCAAAATTGCGGGTTATTTACATGAGTCCCCTGGAAATTTTCAAAGTTTTTTTAAAAAAATGGATCCAATTTTTGTCTTTAAATTTCTTGTAAGTTTAGAGTAAAACACACTTACAAAGGTGATATAGGTAATATTTTCACGGTTAGCTCTAAATTTCCGAAAATTGCGAAATTTTGAATTTTTTGCGGCGTCTTCCCACATTTCCAAATTGAAGATAAAGATATGTTCTTGTAATACAATTTGTTCCCCATCGTGAGTTCTTTCATTAAGGTCATTAACATTTAAAAAAATTACCTGTTTTCGTGCAATATTATGACCAATTGAGTAATATTTATATTAGCGGAAATTTGTCCACATTATTGTATTTATGGCTACACGTGCTTTGAATAAAGTCATATAAAGTACATTTTGTAAAAGATTTCTTACGCCGTTGATATGCAAATTTCCAGCTATTTGTAAACAATATTGTACTTGTGAGTAAATGTGCTTCAAATGGTTATAAATGAAGTTTTTCGAAAACACAAAATTGCAAGAAAATGAACTTTGGGCGTCGACAAATGGCAGCTTGTAAAAGTTTGTGACGAGACCGAAAAGCTAGGTCAAACAGAAGAAATTAGAAAATTAACTAATACGAGAAAGTCTGTGCCATTCTGTAACACTACTAGTTTATTTCTATGTTAATTTTTCTTTATGAACAAATATATTCATAATCAATCCTTTAACCTGGCCACTGCGCTCTGAATGCTGAAGGGTGTGCGGTGTGTGGCTGCGCAGGCTGGGGCCGCCGCTCGTGTACCAGAGCGCGCAGGCGGGGATGCAGCGTATCACCCAGGGCCGCCTCATCGACATCGCGTACGAAGCCGGCGCCGAGCTTCCCTTCTCGGACACCCTGTATCACCCATGCGGCCGCATGACCAGCAACTACCTGCTCTTCCTCGTGCAGTTCTTCTTGTTCCATCTGGTCCCAGCGGTGGTAGGCGACGCTCTGCTCTCCGCCACCGGCCGCAAACCCATGTGAGTGCAGCACTGGTTAATTATCAGCGCGGGATGCAAGTGTCGGCCTGTGTAAGCACACCCTACTCACGGACGGGCCTGGCGCCGTCGCCCGCACAGACCTTGCTACCACTGCCGTCGTCGGGGCGGCATCCTCGCCTGAAAGTGTGTGCAAAATAGAACTAAGACTTCCTATCACAAGCATTTTCTTGTTCCTATGACTTCACATTCACAATTCCCAAGATAGTGCACGTTCACCAGTGTCCGAGGTTTCCCTGGAGTATCTATTTGCGCTACTTATTAATAGAAACGTTAAATGTTTACTCCTTCCGAAACACCGTATGAACGAAACGGCTAAGCCTTCTCAGGTAACGAAAACTGAAAGAAGATTATCGACTTAGGTAGCTCGAGGTCACTGCAGAAATCACTGCAGTGCCTCTGACTGGGAGGTTCTACGGTTCGAGTCCCGAATGCTTTTCGACACTAGCTAGAGAGCTGGGTCTAATTCAACCAATGCCTGGCGGAGAATTCTAGCGAGAGGGGACTATAATTTATAATTTTCAACGGTTTCTCTGATTAACACCAAGCGGATGTCGGAGCTGTACTTTAACAAACGAGCCACGGATCTTTCCTTCCTCCTCGTCCTATACTCATCCCTTTTGTATATTCACTTATGCTTACATGCAGAACATTACCACACACGCAAAGAGACCAATGAGTTTAAAGTTTGTTCCGTCTGGGGCGGTGCACCGTTGATGGGGGACACCTTGTTGGGAAAATCCCGCAAGCCGACGGGTAGGTCGGCGCCGGATCTCGACATGCAGCGGGGAAGTTCATCGCCAGCTCCCGCGACAAAAATGTGCTGCACTTATGGTACTAATGACCTCATCAGTTGACGCGCACGGAATAACCAATAATTCAATCAATCTGAAAGTGGATAAGATGGGAAGTGGGGGTGAAGGAAGACAGACCGCGGGATGCAGTAGGGCGATTCCCCACGCGTTCTCCCTTTCTCCTTACCTTCTTATATCTCTTCTTGACCCTTTTTGGCTCTCCCCGAAGTCGATGAATTTTCAGTGAGCCCAGTACCGTATTCTAAAAATATGTATGAGAATGGTAAAATACGATTTTCATTTAATGGATTCAAATGCCTTAATTGATCGAATAGAAAGTACTCTTGAAAAGCACAGATATGATTCTAGGTCCATCTTCAAATTAATTTGTCACTAGTTTGAGATATTTGTTTCTGAACGAATAATAGATCATCTCATCATGTATAACCAATGAAGGCGAAAACCCAAACGTTTTTTGATAAATTGAGCTCAAACGTTTGAGCCAGTTTCAGAAACGCTTAACTCCATTTTCTCAAAAATCTCTGACTCCAACTTTTCAAACAAAATTTGCGTAAAGAACCAGTGTTTACTCTTCTATAATATTCTTAAAGCCACATTTTATTTCTATCTAAGTAATATTGTAAAAATTTGAAGAAAACAATTTTGAGCCGTTTGTGAGTTTTTCTGTAAAAATGCGTAATTTTGATCTTATTTTGAGCAAACACTCAATCGCCATTTTTTCAAAACGGATCCAAATAATTCGCAAATTATATGCTACGTACATTTTTTTAAATGAACAAAAATTATTTACTGTACTTTTTTGTTTGATCCCAAAACTACAGAAATGTATTATTTTCATATCCAGATTTCCAGCATTTTGTATACATTATTGCATTTGTGAGTGGAAGTGCTTTTTGGAGGCGAGATAGCAGTTGGCAAGGAATTGGGGCAATACTGAAAAGTTAGCCCAGACCAAAGTCGTTAAAAACTAATTCGAGATAGTTTGTGCCAATTTTTAGTACCATAAGGTACTTTTTCGTATACATACGTAATTACGTATTATGACACCTTTGAGATATTATTAAAACTTTCTCAAAAAAGGTTTCAACAATTTTTATTCAAATTTCTTGTAAGAATAGAGTGAAATACACATATGATGGTGGAATAGATCCAATTATACCTGCTTACTCCGAATTATCGAAAAGTTTGAAATGTTTTACACGTGTTGCTACAAATAGAAAATTGAATATAGAAGTTTTTTAAATAAAATTTCTTCTCCATAGTAAATTCTTTCAATAAGTTAATGTGCGTTTTAAAAAATATCAGTAGGTTCCGCGGGTTGAAATATGTGCAACAAAAAAAAGGAATTTCTCATAATCAGCTCCGATTTTTTAAAACTCTTGGTAGGGATAGTGATCAATATACTGTATAAGATGACATAAAAGCCATTTTGCTCTATTCTTTTGTGCTTTCAATAATTATCTTTCTGTAGCACCAATACTATTAAATATTTTGAAAATTGCCCATATTTCATTCAACATTAAGTTAAACGACTATTTGTTAAAAGAAGACGAGGATACTAAGCCCAAAATACTAATTAGAGTTTTGAAAAAAGCATTGTTTTGGAAATGAATATAAACCTTTATTTCTGTTGAAATCTCCAAATCTACATTCTCTGAACAACGCGTATTCCTCTGTATTTACAAATAGGCACGAAAATGTAATTGGTGCTACAGAATGGTTTAGACTTGCTAGAACTAGTAGTTTTCTAATCTCTTTAGTTTGGGTTAACATTTCGGTATTCCCTTACCGTCTTCCCAGATGCCATCTATTGCCGCCTAAAGGACATTTTTTTACCTTACGCAAGTTTTTTGTTTACGTAATGGTCGTACTAAAATATATATGATTTAAATAATTATGTTATAGAAGTGTAAAACCTGGAGCTACGCGCATTGTTTTTATTAAAAAATGCAGTAAAGATTTCGCTGTTGCAACTTGAGGGTACTCTTGCGCGCGTACATTTACACGGAGCCCCTCAGAAGCACTTTCGAGAAGTGCCGATTCCCTTCACACAGCTAACGTCCAGCGCAAGGTCGGATCCTCAGCCGATTTTTTTTGTGTGGAGGAATGTGTACGGTCACTATATATATATATATATATATATATATATATATATATATATATATATATATATACATGGACCGTACTCACCTTGACCCTCTTTTGATGGCGTTTGTAATCATGCAGATGATCCTATAAGCACGTATAAAATTATTAATAATTAATTTGGGGCAAAAAATATGTATGGATCAATAGTGGTAATTCTATTGATCGCATGAACTAACTGTGCTCAAAAAAACCTTTAAAAACGAAAAACATTTAGTATTAATAGCACGTGATTTAATCGTGTCTGGTGATCAGATTCAATCATTTTCAATTACCTTTATATTTATACTTTACTTATGCGATCGCATTTCTAATACCTACCCTACAATATTGCCGTTTAAATTATTATAATTGAATCAGTTTAGTTAACCAATTGCATCTCTTCCATAACTCCCATTACCAATAAGTCTCAATCTCTGCAATGACCCATATGCTTCATTAATTTGCCATCATTTATATTATGATTTTATTTTTGTCTTTGAACACGATTTATTCAGCCATGGAAATAAAATGACCGCTAAGTTGTCACCACCTCCCCTGTCATCCACGGGATGATGCCCCATTATTTACATAACCATATCCCTGTATTATACCATGATGAATTTCTGTTCTATTTACGTTCGAGTTAGATCTATTGCGACACTTGGCTATCGCCCACTACCGGTGCCAATTATTCCTCTTTTCTTAGAGTCCTACGCCTTACGCGACATCTACGGTTGATCTGCAACCAATTGTTTTTATCACATAGAATTTAGACATTCACATTTTATAACTGTATTTCACTAACAACATTCATGTCGTTTCTGTCCGTATCGGCACAGCCGTTCTCTCTGGCGACTGCGTCTTAAACGTGCGTAATGTAAATATTAACGAATGAATATATACTAAAAATACACATTTGCGAAATTTTGACAAAATATGAAGTATATTAAAATGGCGTTGATATTATTTTCCAGCTGTAAAACCTTATCTCTCTTGGAACTATTGTTTCTGTGTTGCTTGTGGCAGGCCTTTGAGTTTATCGGTGTTGGTGGTTGTGCATTGTTCCACAACTCATGAAATGTTGGGAGGGCTCCTAACTCGGGTGTTGGGTCTGTTACTTCCTCATTATGTACAACCCTACTTCCTGATGCATGCGACTTTGTGTCCTTTTCTAATTTTAGGGCGCGTCTATTCCCACTAGCACAGTCACGGTGCACCACTATGTCGCAGGTTGATTCGCCTGCAGCGCCGAATCTACTCGGCCATGACGAAGCTTTCGTTTTTCCTCCTGCAAAACTGGGACTTCGCGAACAACCGCTTCCTGGATATGGAGAAACGGCTTAGACCAGAGGACCGCGAGGGATTCTCCTACCATTTGGAGAACCTCATACCTGAGGCCTTCTTCAAGGACGCGCTGCGTGGCACGCGCCGCTTCCTCATGAAGGAACTCGACATCAATCTGCCACAAGCCATTCGTGCTTATAAGAGGTATGCTCAGAAGGGATGAATGAAAGGGATGATAACGAATGAAATGAAATGAATGAATGAATTGAAATGACTAATGGTAACCACCGCTCCCCTAGGATCCATTCCCAATTAACTTTGCCGTGCTCCGCCTAGGTCTCGTATTCGTGTTTGCGCTCTTGTGCTAAAACAAAGCACAGGCAGATTTTTCATAGATCTCATACACTAAAGGTGAAGACAAGATATGTTTAAACTAGGAGTATCCTGTCAAAGATGACGGGACGAAATTAAACTCTCACGTACGAATAAAAAACAATAGTTATACCTCTTCAAAAGACAATATAGCGCCAATTGCTCTGATAAAGTTTGATTACAAAAAAATGTTACGTCCTAAAAATACACTAGAGGTAATGTTTTTATTGTGCACCAACGTGTTATTGTGCACATTTACAATTTCGAAGGTCCAACTCATACCAATAATTTGCCTATAATTGTCACATGTCGAAAAATATAAACCAAGCAGGTGCTGCACTTAATAGCAGGCGCTGCTGTTTGCTGAGGCTCGCTGCCTGGGATTGCTGGGGCATGTCCCGTGCTCGCTGATATATATATATATATATATATATATATATATATATATATATATATATATATATTATATATATATATATAATTATATTCTAGCTAACCCACCTATGCCCAAACTCAGCACCTTCAACAGCAGCATGCATGAGCCGTAAGCGTGTTACCAAGATTTTGCTCGTGAGCGAGCTTAAAAAATCTAGGGAGCAGGATCTTCAGGGTGCGAGAAAGGTTGAATCCTTGACACAATAAAATCACAAAGATTGAGAGATAAAAACAAAAAATATAGAATCACATCTTTACAAAGAATGAGCAGAACACAAATGGAAACCTTTACAACACACACACATATGAATGAACACATATAATTTAACACACAAAATTGAGACTCTGAAATGATTACCCTAATCTCCACTGGGAATTCCCTTGGAAAATAAAATGTATCTAAGTCTATGCTATTCTGTTTACATTGCACATGAAACCAAAATTCAATTCACATTCTCCTGCTCAAAATATTACATGCAAAGAAAAAATGTGTGCAAGTGCACTATTCTTATTTACAATTTTACTGTGGCTGAAAAAAAACTGAATAATAAATGTCCTAAGTGTAATATTTTATACAGGTAATAGTGTGTCAAAATGTCTCCTACTACGATACTGCAATTCGTTGCCACCCGTGTCCTCAATTTCTTAACACTTTCTTATACTAATTTTCCCAGCCGACGTGAACTTGACCTATTTTTCGCGCCCTAACCGTTACCTCGTGGACTTCCCAGTTTTGGCCTTGATGGTCGCACGCTGGTCTCTGCGTCGACGTCGCTTGGTCCCAGCTTCTGCGTCGTAAAGAGACGGGATTCGCCTCTGCCGTCTACGTTGTCTTCTTGCGTCCTTTTCCGTTCTTCTTCCTAGCCGTTCCGTCTTCTTCCTCATGCGTCTGGGTCCTCGGCCTCTTCTTCCTCCTCGTCTGCTACCGGCACCTCTGACCACGCCCACGTTGCGAAAATGTCACTGGCACTTCGCCGAATACTCGTGCAAGTTCCTCGCTCGTTGCTACTTCTACTTTACTAAACCAGAACTTTTAATGCTTCTCTCACAACGGGTAACTTTTACTTCCCGTGTCGTTAATTGAAGGAATACTTTACTGAATCTGCACTATCTCGCGGACGACTGACTAGAACGTCTGTTCGACACCGAATACTCCTACCTAGTAGTCGTTGCAGCGACAAACAATATCTAAACTAATGTTCACGAAAGTGTTGGCTCGGCGAGCGGTGATCAAAGTGTTGCTGGCTCGGTGATCGGGAACCCAAAGAGAAGAGCTGCTTACTCGACGAGTGGTGGCAAGAAAAAGAGAGCTCCCGCTTGCGGGTTCGCGTATATATCGCCCGACGCCTCGGGAAATTTTTCAGCGGTGGGGTTGCTTCCCCTCTCTCAACCCTCCACAAGGAAAACGTTGCTCGCTAGTTCACCACCGTCTAGTACGGGCAACGGATACTGGGCCGCGCGTTTAAGAACCTCTGCTTTCCGCGCCTGCTATCCTCACTGCCTGTGGGTGTTCACACATATGGGGTAGCACAATCCCATAACGACACAATATATAACTTGTTTAGTGGGCGGGGAGGTTGACATTAATTATTAATTTAGTACGTCACACTAGGGGATTGCAGTTGTCTGAAGCGTGATGTAGTTTATGGACGGCCTCTTATTGTAAAAACCTATCCGAGATCCGGACTTCCATACATTTCCTTCGCTAAATTAAGAACTTGATGATCAATTTTGTCGATGCAATTCCCAATTTGTTTTCTCCCCGACACACAGCACAAAATCTCTACATTATAGAGATGCCAACTTGATATTATTTGCAAATTCAATTCCTATATGATTTCTGTGATGAAAGCTCTCCATGTGTTCATAATCTCAAACGGTGCAGACTACAAAACTTCGCGGCGTCGCTCGCGTGCGGGTAATCTTAAATATTATCCTACCAGATTATCCAATACCAGAAAATACTCCAATGCTTTCAGAACGAGTCTTTATTTTCATTTCTGTTGAAGTAATAAGTAATATGTAAATTAAAGTGCCATAAGTAGATTGTTTACATGCAACACATATCATGTTCTGTCATACCTAACCGCCTCGGGAGGCGGAGGAGCTTGCACGAGAGACAAGTGTTCATTACATTGTGTTGGATGCGCTCCCCGATTGTTCAGGATGTTTGTGGCATGGGGTACATCACGGGGTACATTCTCAATAACACCTGCATCCTAATACAACTCCAATCCGTTGCCCTGACCGGTAACCGTCGGAATGACCAATGAGTGAGCTCCCCGAGTACCGTCTCCTACACCCACACGAATGGCACAAACACAGACCCAAGTATTTGTACGAAGATGCGTAACTGACAAACACTAAGGCCCGCCTCGGCATCACGTTCTGGAAGCAGAGAGCTCCTCACAGCGAAGCGATAGTGGCCGCGGGAGCCCCTGATACTACTTTCAAAATTTTGTCTTTATATCACTTTAATAGGTTGCAAATTTATGGGTACAATTTTACATAATGTTGTACGCTAATGGCTTTGCTGAGGATAACAGCCAAAGCGCAAAACGTGTAGATCTCACAATTTTCATAATTACAAATTCCGCATAGTTGCATTTTCACAAATATACAATATAAACAAAACAAGATAAGGTGTAATACTTTTTGAAAGATATTTATTAATTGTATTTATTTAACACATATTACGATTTGTAAATAACGATTTCGTAAAATGGCAAAGTTAGGACAAGGTCCCTCACAGGACACCTCAAACTCCTCCCAACAAGTGTGTAGGGCATTTCATAGAGGAGAGAGAAAAATAATAGCCAGAGTTGCGGAGATGTGCGAAAGGTGCGTAACTGACAAACACTAAGGCCCGCCTCTGCATCACGTTCTGGAAGCAGAGAGCTCCTCACAGCGAAGCGATGGTGAAAAAAGACACATTCACCACTTCATAACATTCCCAATCATTGAAACGGGCCTCTGCTTATAAAAGCGTTAGTAAATCCACTATAAAGATAATAAAAGCTGAAAAATCAAGAAACCCTAATAATACTCCGGAGACACCTGGCAAAAATAGGTAACGTATGCGTGAAATTTAAACGCGTTTTCTACAGCTCTGTAATCTCCTCATATTTAATCATAATTCGTAAACGTAACACGGGGTACAGGGGGTGTCTCCTATAGTCCTCGCTTGATTGACTTTGTAATACCAGGTTAAATGTACTGAAAGGCACTATTAAACACGCGTTAACATTTTTGTATTACTAACTACTGTTTGTATTACTTACAAAGAACTGCAAATGTGGAAAAAAAGATCTAACGAAGAATACTTTGAAAGAATTACCCGTTCAATTCCATAAAAGTATATTTCAACAACTTTTGCAAACTCCACATCAAACGTCATGATTTGGAGCAACGCGGGAAGTTGCAAAGGTAATTGGGGTCAGCCTGTTGAACTGTGAGTGTTAATGGTTCGATTTCATTCCGACGAAACTACTCACGCGTAGCGAAATGAGAGCTGAAGAAATCGTGCACAAATAGTCATAAATTGTTCACTATCAGTGGAGTAGCGAGAAGGAATACAAATTAGTTACTTACCACCCATCCGAGGGAAAAATATAAGAGAAGGATTAATGAGAAGTAGAAAATATATTTCTTGATCCTTATATTCTGACCTTTCCGAATTGAAGGCAGAAGTTGCAAAGAGTAAGCGTCCTGCCAACCAGGAAAATGGCAACAGAGCCTCAGAAAAGAGAGATCCCGACTAATTTTGGGATTTACTACTTCGAGTTACATCTGCCGAGGTGTTGCTGTTAATAAATTTGATTTTATCACGCTACGCCACCGCTTATTGTATCTTAAATTTCATCACAATTTGGTATATTGAAGAAAGTTTTTTATAACTCCTACAATTATTATAAATATCTAATGGACTGTTATTTTCTTCTTGTATTTAAACAAGAAATCGTAGCAAAATTGTCTTCGGCAAGCGCGTCATCAGGGACACGATTGAACATTTTTACGTCGTTCAGAAGTCGTCCCAAATATAAATCATATCTTGGCTGTGATGCGTGAAACGATCAGCTGGAATTGGGGTGCAACATTTGGAAGAGAGTCCAAAATAACAGAACTCTGCTCCTGGAAAGAGCAGACATTGTGAATGAGAGCGCGATATATTGGGAAAATGAAGCACTTGAGGGAAGAAAACATAGAGGTATTTTATTTGGATGAGTCATGGTTCGACACCAATTTAACTGTCGGCAAATATTGGCAAAAAAGCGACGTAATTGGTGTTACTGGATGAGGCAGTGCATAAAAAATAGTGATATCAACATTGGGTTGAAAAAAGGGTTTCATCCCGGAAGCTCAATTCATATTTGAAGCAAAGTGGAGACTAATACGCA